CATTGGCGGATTACGATAAGTAGGCTAAGAGCTCGCAATATACACAAGGTTTTACGTGGTGAATTACCTTCTAATTTATCTAATCAATTATATGTACCTAGGTTGTGCATTTAATTTATGAAGTTAACTTTGCCATGTTTCATAATTAAAAATAGTTCTTTTAATATATTGTAAAGCACGCCACTCGTCTCTCGTGCTTATACGATTTCATACATAACTTACCAGCCTAGAGAGCAAACATTAGTCAACAGTACCCATCGTCAACTATTTTAATTTGATAGTGGGATTTGACCTTCACTCTTATAATTTATACACAGCCCCAAAGTGCGAAGAGCGATTTTGAGGCAACAATTTTTTAAAACATAAATTGGCAATACAAAAAAGCTTAATCTATGCAAATTCAGAAACCAGATTATTCTTCTTTATTCAAATTCTACCTATTAAATTTATATATAGTCTTTTCACAAAATTAGTAACGTTAAGATAGATCTTCAATATCCATCTTTCTACCTCTTGTCCTACTATAGTTCATGGTTGGGCTTTTAGCCAACATATGCATACTACAACACATACATGTACCAAGTTTATTAAAAAAAAAGAGAGAACAACTGAAAAATATGAGTGATGACACACCTACAAACAGGAACAATACATATATTTATTTGGTCCGTCGTTTATATAAATAACATGATACTTCGAAATTATACTTAATAGTACAAATGACTTATACTGTAAAACTAAATAAAATTAATCATTGCAGTTTACTAATACAAGTGAGAGATATATATTCATCGTTATTACAAAAATGCCATTGAACTGAATGTCAGAATACTTAAATACCTGTTCATATATATTGTTATTAAACTAATTTTTAAAAATTCGTATAACATCATTCTGAATCTCAAAGCATCAACAATATATAGGTAAAAATGTTTTTTACACAACAATCAGAACAAAAATAAATCTTAATACATTTTTAATAAAATATAGTGATGCATCCTAAGATAAAGATGGGCGATTAATCTATATAATCGATTACCTCAATTAGTGTCTCAAAAAATTATCCAAGAATCGAAATTAATGTTTGCAATTATTCCAACTAACCAAGTTATTGAAATACTGCTATTATGATTTTTTCCTTATCATTTTCAATTAATTCAAGGTTGTTTAGCTTAATCAACCAGCATTAGAACTCACGAAAAAAAAGGAACTTATTAAAATTAGTGTTCCCAATCATTCCTATATTAAATTATTTATGCATCCAAGTCTCATGTGAGAATAACTGATTACTTGAATATAATCATTTAATGAGACCAATGATTTATTAATTTGCAAATTCCACTAATCGCCCAGCTCTACAGTAAGAGCAAATTATCACAAGTACAATCAGATAACCATTTACCTTCCATTTAGTACCAGCATAACTATGAAAATCTACAAGAATAGATGAAAAAAGTTGAAACACAGAACATGTGTATAAAAATATCCCTTAAAAATTTGACTCTTAATATTAAGACCTCAATGCCAAATGAATCAATTTTTTAGTCGTGTCCATAAAAAATGTGTAAAAGTTTAATAAACAAATATCACACTGAATGACAATTGGCACTCATATTTTATCGTAACTTTAAAAATGCATAAATATCTAAACCTGTTAGCTATCAAAATATATTCCAAATCAAGTATTGTACTAAATTAAATAGTTTTGAAATTTTAAAACAGCTTTAATTTCATTTAAATCTTTCATAATTGAGTGTGACTTTAAATGACTGGACACCACTGACTGAATTTTGTATTTATAGTAAAGCTACTCAGGCTATCTGCCACCATCTATAATTTTGAACTACTGCCTACAGAGAAGGGAGTCAGTCAGTAGCACCCTTCCTTTCATATTAAAGAATTAACTATCACTCTTATAATGCACACAGAGGTCAAAAGTGAGGGAAATATTTAGTGAAATCATATGGATTCAAACCTGGCTCATCAACTATGACATCCAAAGCTCAACCACAGGGCTAAACCAGACTTTGTCACTGCTGATGTTATTTACCCACAATAATCATGTAATTCCAAATTACAAGGTAATTTACTGTTACACTTTACATGCTCAGTTCAAGCTCCATAAAAGAAACAAAATCATGCTTACCAACTCTGAAACATAAGTTTTTATTAAAAGTTATTCAAAATCAACTTTTAACATGCACTTGTTAGAATAATTCCATTCCCAGAAGATGTTTGACCTTAGATTGACCAATAAGATTAACATGGATACTATTAGTTTTAGATTTTTTCCCAAGACATTTATGCACCAAATTGGTTGTGTTTCTATGACACCGGTGACACTGTTTTTAGGTACATAGTTCCTAATAACATGGGTCATGAAAAAAAAATACAATCAGTTATTTACATTGAATATTGTAATAGTCAAAAGCATAAAATTACACAATATGATGGAACATGTGGAACTTATTGGAAATGAATGGTATAAAAGCAATCAGTAATTTGAGTTAATAAAAGTTCTAAATCATAGCCTAATGAACACATAATAACAAAACACATTATCATTAAGTCAACAGAATGTTTAATATCTTCAAATGGATGATTGTGAAAAAACACACATAAATAAACATCAAATGAATCTATGCTTCTCATTCCAATATCCCATTACAAAATAAATTATAAAAAACTTGAATAAAGGATTGTAATTTGTTTATAACATATTAATAGAGCATTTTATTCAATTAACTGAGGCTATGTTTGCATTACAGTGCTTCATTACAAAACAAGTTATAAAAAACTCGAACAGAATAAAATTTTGTTTACAACATGATATTTATAAATGATTTTCTAACATTTATAATTGCCATAAAAATAAACAATGAAATAAAATCTTAACAAATGTCATTTTGTCTTTAAAATAATTTACAAAAGATGTTTTAATATTATATTAATTAATTAGAATTTGCTAAGTTATTAGCTAGTTCAGTAATTAATTGTAGTAACATTACTAGCATTAATTATTTTCTTTTGACCTAATTTCTCTTGAAGTAATACTACTTTTGACAAAAGAACAAACTATTCAGGAACAATGCAACCGATGACAAGTGTTGGTCAATACCAGGATTTATTGGTACAGCAGAGTCAATGACAGAAATAATCAACATGCTACTTAAAGAATATTTTACAGAAGTGATTATTTTCCTGAAAATAGCAAAAACCTTAGACAATCTCTTAGTTCATGACAGAATAAATGCTACACAATCAGCAGAATACAAATCCCTGTACAGTACAAGCTTTTAGTTTTACTCTAAAACATTTTTGCATCACAAATCATGTTCTTTTACTGTAAGAATTATTTCTCAAACTTTCTAGTTCTAATTCTTTATTTTGCAGTTGAATACGTAGTTCTTGATTTTCTTTGTTCAAACTATCCTTGGACTGACACAAAAAAAATAATTGCTTTCTTTGTTCTTCAAGCATTCTTTTTTGTTCTTCAGTGGTATAAAGCAGCTCCTGGTAACATTTTTGCAAATCTTTGATAATCTGGAATTGAACAGAATAATTGTTAACTTACAGTAGTTTTATTACAAAATTGTCAACAGAAAGATATTTATATTATTTGTAAAATACCACATAATGTCTAATAAACAAAACAAATCATTAATAATATATAGTCCTGTTGTACACAGGTTAATATAGCCACTGCTTCTTCAGACCATCTTCAGCTGAGTTCAGTTGCTTATCACAGAACATTTTATACCAATACATCTAAAGAATTTCAACATATAGTACATTTTAGTCAACAAAATTTGTGGTATACCTACATATAAAAACTCTAATATTGCCAATATCAGGAGAAACCTGACAAAAAAAACACAGCTACAGCTCATCAAAGGTTAGTTAGACTACACATTATCTCTCTTCATGATACTATAATTATGTAAAGTGATCATAGGGTAAAAATAAATTATGTTATTGGTTTGCTCAATTTACGTGTAAAAAAAAGCCATTATTTATCAATGGTTTGGTTTGTTTGGAATTTCAAAGCTACATGAGGGCCATCTGTGCTAGCCATCCCAAATTTAGTAGTGAAAGACTAGAAGGAAGGCATCTAGTCATCACCACCCACTGCTAACTGTTGGGCTACTCTTTTACCAATGAATAGTGGGATTGATCTTCATATTATAATGCCCCATGGCTGAAAGGGGAAGCATGTTTGGTGGGACAGATTGCGAGTCAAGCTCCATATACACCTGGCCATGCCAGGCCATTTACCAATGATGGACTGTTTTATTTTACTAGTAATTTTGATATGACTATACATCACAACCTTTCAAAAGCTAACTGTAAGAAAATTATCATTTTTGAAGGATCATGAAATTACTGCATCTTGTGTAGAAGAGTAAGACACTTGTACTGATGATGTGTAGGTAACTGATTATGTGGTAGAATAGGTGTATTACTACTCCTTTAATGGAACTTTAAATTACTTTGCATTAAAAGTACTGAAGTAATACGTATACTAAAAATGTGCAATTAAAGAGAATCGCTATTTATATGAGAGGTTCTGGAAATATTAAATATTTTTAAACATGTTCTGAAGAAAAAAGATGAGAAAAAATTTCATATGTGAGTAATTATGCAACAGTGTGCACATGAACAAAACAATTATCAAAATCATTGTTTATAATTGTATATACAAAAACATAACATTACTCCATACATAAGCTATGGATTTTTCTTTAAATCACTGCTTACTTACTGACTTAAGGTAAAAAGAAAGTTTTCCTCTAAAGTGCAACATGTGTTTTAGGTTTAAGGACCATGTAATAGACTATAATATTATGCTACACATAAATGCCATGATTAATTAAAAATTTTACCAAATGGATACCCTAAAGTGCATTTTTATGTAAAAAAATGTCCTTTTATATGGCAACAACAGTATTGTCAAACAGGAAAACTGTGCATAATACAATCCATACTGATTTTATGGAACCACCAAGTCAATTCAAAATGTTATACTGTATTTCCAATAGATCTATATTTTTTTTAATACTTAAAGCTTTCAGCTTTAACAAAATGAAAATTATTTCTGTCAAAAACATCAGTGGAACTTACAGGGAATATGACCTTATAACAATCCTCAAAGTCAGGAAAAATACTGCATGTTGTACAATGCTATTAACTTATTTAGTGACTGGCAGACACAGAAAATATACAAATGTTTTATTACATAAAAAGTAAACAAATCAAATATTCTAAAAACAATTGAATAACAGCTTTAAAATCCAGCAGAATATTAGGGTGAAGTAACACATCTTGAACAGTTACCAAAAAAAATTTTTTTCCACTACAATCCCTGTACTACACTATAGACTTATGCAAGCTAAAAAAATAAACTTATTCCACTGACAACGTATAAATAATAAACATTGAACATGAACTTTCTGAGCTCTAGATGACTATAAAATACTCATATGGAATGCTACAAGATGATTAATGACATAAAAAACATGTTTGAAGCACAATGAAAACACAGAACAGGTAAAAGAATGACCATAAAGCTAAAGAAGCTAATCATTACAAAGATGATTTTAAGTACTGGAGAAAGGTGAGGCAAAGAAAAACTTCTTCACTGTTCAATCTTTCCAGAAGGCTGGCACCTATTTTTTAAATTACTCTGCCTATATGGGTGAATCCCACCTCAAGAGAAAAACTTCACCACTGAATTTAAAAAATCATAGAAAATAAACTTGCACTAGTTTTCCACACATTAAAAAAAAAACTTTCAAGTTAATAAAATACAAATCAAAATACAAAGAGAATCATGGAAAAACCTTAACATATTGAATTCAGTGGTCATGCTCACAAGTTGAAGTAAAATATGTATTAGCAGTGATGTTTAATAGAAAATAACAGTGTATTCTAGTAATGCATGTCTATTATAGTAGGCAAAATTTTTGGTCTAAAGATACTCCCTGACCATCATAACAATAACAAAAGTACAAGTTATAGTACTTATGAAATCCCACCTCAGTCTTGTTAGGAGACAGAGAGTTGAGTACTTCTAAAGCCATTGGCCGTTTTCCTGGGTCTGTTTGGGTGAGACTTTTTATAACTTTTGTCTGTAAAAAAACAAACAAAAAAAAACAGTTCTTTGCCCCCTTTAATTACAAAAATCCATGGTTACTGAAAAAACCCAACAGTTTAGGAAACTGAAAACATTTAAGAAAACAATTCATTTTGTAGATACCACATACAAGCTCTCACTTGAATCAAATGAATATTTAGTAGAATTTGAGTTAAAAGTTTAAAAACTGTTTGGGTTTAGTGCTTTGAGCTGCACAATGTTTGTATGGTGAATTTGGAAATATTTCTAACACTATTTATGATGAATATTAAATATATCTCAATTACTTTTAAAAAATAAATTATATAACTCCTCAAAAGGAGATCATGTTTAAATACAAGTTGCCAGACAAAAGTTGGCAGTAAGCATTCTAATACCTCTTGTCTGGGCTTCAGTAAAAGGTTTTAGGGTAATTTTCAACAGTACAGATTATTTTGTTAGAAACATATTATTTCTTTGGAATCTCATTCTTTGATGTGATTACTGTTTTTTGTAGTCACTTGTTAAAAACTGTTTTAGCCAATAAAATTTTTAGGTAAAGTTCTTAGAAGGTTACTTGTCTACAATCATACATTATTTATATATACATGTTTAAAGTCGTAACCCAAACAAAATATTGATATTCCTTAAAGTATTATGTTTAAAAGTAACCATTTTAGATTTTGTCTTCAGTTTGGAGGTTTAGATGCATATCTTGGTCAGTTCACACTGTACGTTTGGCCACTCTATAAAGAAATTCTACTGATTATTCATAAGCTATGGTACTCAGACTTAATCAGTAAACAAATCTGACTGCATCTGTGTTTTAGTGTATTCAAATGTTTTTAGGCTTCATATTAATTGGATGCACGAACTACACTGCTCTTATACACTAATTAAACCTCTGAGTTCATTATAATGGTTGAAGTAGTAGTTACAGCTTTCAGTCGTTTAGTACACAACTTATTTCATGAAGCTTAGATTGGGCAAGCAATCATTTTTAAGAAAAGTTTAAGTTACGTTTTTTACACTTATGTTAAAATACTACATAAAACAAATCTGAAAATAGGAATAAATGGAAAGCAAAACATTTCATTTGTTTTAATCATTTTTGCTCAAAAGTACACAAAAGATATATATGCATGGTCTTCGCTAATTTTGTAGCATAAAATAAGCAGGAATGCAATAAGTGAATAAATACCACTCTCTGTCAACTCTCAGACTACTCAAATCTCACCCAATGGTGGGATATCACTATCACTTTAATAGCATACCCATGTCCCCAAAGTAGCAGCAACAAGTTGTGAACCATGAATCACTGAATTCACAGTCCATACATAATAACCACTAAGGCCATGCCTGACCACAAACAAAATATAACATACAATTCTTACCAGTTCTGGCCACTTCTGCTCTATTTCACTTGGAACTATTCCTGACTGAAGTCCCCTTAAACATTCAACTCTCTCCATTTCTGTGGCAAAAGGGTGTAAAAGCTCCAACAAAATAACTCCCAAACTAAACATATCAGCCTACATAATAAAAAATGTAGTGTTGTTATTTATTTTGTCTACTTTCTACATTTCATGTAATTCAGCATAATTTGGTTGTATCACAGTTACAGAGGTTGAATACATTATATTAAAACAATTTTGAAGCCTCACCATGTCCTTACAACCTAGTTATGCTCTATCTGAAGACAGAGCATCTTGATAACAGTCCTGGAGTATAGTTTTCATTATAAAAGACTCTTTAATAAGGCTTTCATGTCAAAAGCACACTACTTCTGAAGAAATTAAAAATAAATATCATGCTAAATATAACTCTAAAAAGAAGTATTGAACAGAAGATGGGTAATGTGAAATACAATTTGATGTTATTTTCATAGCCCCCCCCCTCCAAAAAAAAATAATAAAAAATCCAGAGCTAGAAAGCAGATGTCCTGCTTCCCCATCAGTTGATATAAGAAATGACAGTGGAATTGCCTTAACAGATCATAACAAGATTACCAGAGAGACAAAACTGAAAATTATGGCAAGATCAATGAGAAACCAACATCTTGAAGACATTGATATGAAGAGACCATTTCTATAGAGATCAAATCCTGGAAAGCATGTAGGTATTCAGAAATGTCCCTCCCTCATCTGGAAAGAGAAGCATTGGTTAACAGATGAATGTCTGGGCAAGGTTTGAGAAGAGGGATGCCCAATGTCATATGAAACCAACTGAGCCACCACCACAACAAGAGGTGAAGAAATGGAGTGAGATAAACAAGAGAAGACAGTGGATTCCACCATGGCCATTTTCCATTGATCTGTCAAGGTATAATGAAGTGAACACATATAGATACATCAAAGAGGAACAAGGGACTTAAGCAAAACCACAGTACACAAAAGAGTTTGGTAACTCGAGGCTCCATGTCTTGAAGATGGAAAAAGAGAAAGCTGAGTTTGTCCTGTGAATGAATTTAGAGAGACCCCTAAACAAATGAGATATTGGGTGGAGGTCAAGAGTGAATTGGAGAGCTGAACCAGCCACTCCAACCAGATAAGTCTTGATGGAAAAGGGAAGTCATAACAGTAGATACTACATTGGATGGGCCAAACAGAAGCTAAATGTCCATAAAGTGGTGTTACAGTAAGCCTAAAGAATGCAACCTCCAAGCAAGAACCCACCAGACCCAACTTTAAACATATGATGCCATAGCCAATCAAAATGGAAGGGGTGGGATAGAATATTTGACAATTGTGGACAAAAGGAAGAGAAAGGTAAGTGGACAAAACAGGATGTGGAGAAAGCATGCGAGACATTGATCCTGTCATCCACATCTTGGGAAACTACCCACCTCAAAGTGAAAAAACCAACAATCTTGACTGAGAAATGACCTAAATTGATTCAAGTGAGACAAATCTATAATGTGTTGTCAATCATCCATCTTCATATGGGTAAAGAGATTGTTCCATAGCATTCCCAATTAATTGAGGTGGAGAATGTAAGAATAGGGAAGACCCATGTAACCCAACAATTTGTGGCAAAGGAAATCCCAACAGGTGTACAAAATGAGAGGGCCAAGCTCCCACCAGACTGTAGCCAATGGTCAGTTACAACAACACAAGAGTGAGGATATCAGATACTAACAAGAGGAGTAGGAATAGGAGAGAGGGTGATCCTACAAAGCTGTAGAGGGCATGAAACCTGGTGGGACCACTTGGTTTCAAAAAAGTAAAAAAGCCATAAAAGCAAAGATTACTGTTTATGAGCTGCATGAGGTTGAGATCCCAAAGTTTAAGAAACTCTCAAAAACCCCACCACAAAGGAAAGGTGCAATATGGAAGTCTCTGAGAGAAGACTAAGGAAACACATATGTCAGAAAGTAAAGCATCCAGATGTGGTATATCCCAGAAACAAAGAAAACCGAGGCCAAGTTGAAGAACAGTTGATCAAATTCATTTAACTCTTTCAGCAAGGCCTCAGTCCCTAGGACCGACTTTGTAACCTTTTTGTGCTTGTTATAGTTTTCATGCTATAACTTTTAAATTAGTAAGTGTATGTTAATGAAATTT